AGTCACTTATTTACCCTTTTTTAACAACTTATTAGAATTTCCTTAATTTCCTCTCGTTTCTTTTAGATAAGACACAAATTTGATTGTTGAAGCAGAAGTGAAATGCATAAATGCAAATCCGAAAAAGGCACATGACATCTATAATTTGCGTCAGTAAACCAAGGCTCATGATGTTGAGCTTGCTTTGTACTCGCCTCAAATACAAAAATATCAGAGGATGCTTTGAGTAACTGAAGGCTTTAAAGGGTTGGTCAGGCAGGAGAAAAAAGACTTTTGTATTCTGCAGGCGAAATTGCAAAGTAATGTCTGGACAAATCCGCTTCTGCAAATATCACCCATCTTACGTGTAAATTCAAGTGGGTATGTGTTGAGGGCTGCCTGTAAGTGTGATATCCAATTTAAAACAAAATCATATCGGTGAAATTTTGTCTTTCTTTTTGCTTGGGTAGTCTATTGGGATTGCCTCGAGCAGCAGGCACCAGTCCTGCTTGATGACAAAAATGTGAATGCTTCTAAATTGCATTGTGGAGGCGTGCATGAGTGTAGCATATTAAGCCATATCCTACTTTAATGTATTAAAATGTTACTTTGCACAAATGAAACTGTAATTTAAGAGGCCATTGTAGCAGTGGCAAGGCCACAACACGGGCCATCAGCACCATGGCACATCAGCAAGGAGCGTGCGCTAAGACTGTCGTTGGTGTTAACATTGCGGAGTTATGCATTGCAGCATTGACAGATGCATGTAGAATAAGATGTGAAGGTAAATGGCCAAGCATTATCTTCACCTGCATTTGTGGTTCAGATGCATGGAGACGGAAAGCTTGGCACACGAGAGAGGGTTCCGTGGCTACGGATAGAGAATCGCTGCTCGCCAATTTTCTTCAGTAAATGTGTCACTCATTTCTCGCTTTCATTATCTACCTAACGCTCATTAGGTGGCACGAGTGATTAATTCATGCACATATTTTGTTCAAAATTATAGCTTGCCAGACTTATGACCGAACTTGCCGATGCGAATGTTTAGCATGTCTACTTGTGTGCTGCTCGCTTCGCCTTCGGCAATCCACGTATTACTGCACTCTAAATTCACTTTCATCAGTCAACCATTTTGGAAGTAGGTGGACTGTGATGAGGTGGTCAGAGCATGTGGATTGGTTCAGTAGGACATACCACACTGCATGGATTTGAATGTGTTGCATCTGAGTGACTATATTGTCTTCGGGGATAAGGCACGTCGTAACCGAGAGTATGGGGAAGGCGAACATTCTCACTGCTCTCTCTGCATTTCACTCCGAGTGCAGTCTCACTAGTGTCATTGGCTGTTCATCTTCCAACATCCCATTTGACATCTCTGTACTGCTAACTGGGGCATCCGACGAACTTCAGTTTTCATGCTCATAAACAGCTTTTAAGTAAGCTCTTTATAAATTAGTTCGTAGGCAGCAAGGGTCATATTTCTCTACCACTTCGAAGGACAGGACATGTATGGAAATAATTTAGTGCACTCTATGACAAACGTCAGCATCGTCATTGCGCGATGGTACTCCCAAAAAATGACACCCTTCCTAAAAACTCTTCGTCAAATGGTTTTTAGGTCTATAAACACATTTTTGTTTTGTCGCATTCTACTTCACGCTTAGGCTAGCAGTTCCACTTGATAATTTACTTCGATAACCGACTGTTGTTATTCCCATTAATATACATCTCAAACAATCGCTTACTTAGGACAATTTGTATCAATAGGATGTTTTAATTAAGCATGGATAGCCGGGTTTCAGTTGCACTTGATCTGCACGAAAGTGCGCTCTACTCGCGTGAGGTTCAGGACAGAAAGGAGTGCAAAACGTGGTCTCCCTCTGACAACAGAAGGTGGTAGTGCACTTGTCGCTTAAACGCTTAAATGAAATTGAGGTCTTCTTTATGCACAATGAGTTCCTTTAGAATTTAATGATTTTAAGAAAAGCTTAGTGTGGCGCGTGCGGCACTTGAGAATTTACACATACGAAGTTGGATCAACTTCACAAGCAGTAGAAATGCCATGGAACACATCATTAGAAAGGCAGAGTGTACCATTAATTACCAGATCATTAAGACCAGTCCTACTAGCCAAATCCATTTGCTGGTAAAAGCATTCTGAAAAAAGGTGGAAGAGCACCAAACTTAACGAGTAATACTTTCTTAGTGGCCCTTTCCATCCTCCCTCTCTACATTTTCTTCTTCTTGAAATTCTGTTACAGTCAGCCCAAACAGAAAAGCACAAATGCAAGCGGTTTCTAACCCCACAAATGTATGGGCCATCCTCAGTTACAGGTATTTTGGCAACTTTTGGGTTTTAAATTCGTATTTCATGCGACACTTGGTGTGGCTTTTGGCTGTCAATCATCTGAAGTATCGTGTTTTCCCTTTAACCCAGAAAATTATCACATCCATGTAAAAAGCTTAGCCGCGTTTCGCTAGATCAAGAGCAAAATTGTCTGACATGCCATAGATATATTTAATTCAAAATAAACTCGCTAAACCTGACAACTTAGCACATCGTCTGTTCATCAAGTTCTCTAAAAGAGTAGGAGCAAAAGGTAGGTTAGAAGGCAGCATGGCTTACCAGCATTTTTTTGGATCTCAATCTGTTTTGTTCGTTTTGGCCTTTTGACGTCTTTAGAATGGAAGAGTGTAAGGTTTAGCATGACAAGAAAGTGGAAGATAAGGAGGAATCGAAGC